GCAGACACGTAAGTCGCTTTCTCCTCCAAAACTGTAAAATCTCTTTGATTTTTGTGGTTGAATCAGCAGAAAGTTCAACAAAAGATAAACCTGCAGCAGCACTAGGCTTCTTTTTTTTTGTATTTCTCTGTGTTACTGAGATGTAGCTGTGCGATCATGATTAACATAGAAAGGATTTACTGTCCCACACCTCAGCTGATTAGTGTTTATTTTTCTCTTGCAGTTTGCTGATGAGGAAAGCTCTTTTTGACCATTTAACAGCTCGGGGAATTCAGGTAAAACTGCAGTTCCTTTAAAATTAAGTTGATTCAGGTTCCTGTGAGGAACCGTTGGCCAGTAAATGAGGAGCTATGGAAGTGTTTTAGAGGTTAGAATGGATGGCTGGTTCATTGGAACTTCCTTACCTGATTACATGGATACAAAAGTCTTCCTGTTGTAGCATGTTTTTCCTTTTCTTTGGTCTCAGTCTCTTATGGTCACTTAGCCTGTGGTAGCGATAGGCAGATGGCACATCTTCTGGCAAGTTTTTATTTGCAGTCCTGGAACAATTTCCAAGATTGGTTGATGTAAAGGGGATGGTTGCGCGTTGGTCTTAATCAGAGCCTACGCACAGGTTTGTATGTTGTACTTGAGTACTGTCACCAGGGGGCAGTGTCACAAACAACCAGCCAGCCACAAACAATGCTAACTGAGGGTTTTTTGTGCTTCCTGGCTTTCAAGCTACACACAGCATCGTCCCCATGGTCTTTTATAGTACTGTGCACTTGTATGTCTGCACAGGTTAATAACTGAAAAGCAAGATAAAATGGTAGTTTCATGAATCCCACATTAAAAACCATGGTTTAGTCCTAGTGCATGTATGGAGGAGGTCAAGAGGTACAACACTGAGAGTTTACAGCCATCTGTAAAGCATGGCAGTGTGGGATCATGTTGACAGAGAATAGAGCAAACGGTAGCCAACATCCAAAGAAGAGCTTTGAATGTCCTTCAAGAAGCCAGGAGAACTATTCCTGAAGACTGCTACTACTGTCACCACTTTCCGTGTGGCTTGTTTTGCTCCAACAGTGTGTAAAACTTTTGTAAAATGCCAGAACTAAGCCTGTGTGTTTGTTGTAGTTACACTGTGGTTAAAAGCAGTTACTGGAAAGGTTCCTACCAGATCAAATATAGACTAGAGTACAGAAACATTCCTGTGTGTGACAGCCTCTGACCGCGTGTGTATTAACTGTACAAATCCCTCATGTGGTTTCAGGTGTACATTTGGGTGCTGAATGACGAGGATGACTTTCAGAGGGCGTTTGATTTGGGAGCCACGGGAGTTATGACAGATTTTCCCACCAAGCTTAAAGACTTCATGGACAGGAACAGCCTTTCCAAAGCGGAGTGACCTGCCAAAATCTACCTCACCCCACCTCTCACCAGTGATTATCCTTCAGGGCCACTGACCTGCCAGACCAGCCCCCAACATACACCCGCTTTTACTGCAGGCATTCCAGCACAGCTACTCTCACACTGTGTTTTACAGTCTGTAGGAACTCCAACATGCTCTGTATTAGGAACCGCGTGTTGTACATGTAGTGGTAGCACATACTCCTGTTTTTCATTACTCATACTAAACAGTGTGATCATATTAGAGCTTGACTGCTATTGGGCCCCGTCACAGAGACAGTATATCGCCACAGGCTTACAGATTTTCTGATATGACTCAAAATGAAAACGTATTTGGGTAATTTGGTTTACAATCCTCTCAGCAATGACTGCAGCAGATGGCGGTGCAGTCATGCGATGTCTTCACAGTAAGTTGGTAAGTTACGACTGAAGTATATTTCGAAAAAGTTAATAAGAATTGTTGCCATTATAACACAAATATACTGCATGCATTTACAATGTTTTAGATGCATAAATGATGAAATCTGAATGTTTTCTTTTAGTCACAAAAAATCCTGGCTCATTATGATTATTATTATTAGTATTATTAGAATTATCCATGGTGCGTTCGCTTGCACACACATGCACAAACATACCCATATAACAGTATGATATCTCTGCTAGGAGCACACACTTAATTGAAACCACTGAATTTTTTTTACAAAGAGCTAAAAATGCCACTGAAATATTGTGCTTTTAAGTTTCATCAGTCTCAGATGCCATAATAGATTCATGGTCCTTGACTTGACACTTTCTATAAGGGTTTACTTGCGCAAACTCGATCCTTTTTGATGCTTTCAAGTTAGTTTGCGGTATTACTGCATCATGCTAGGGGTAATGTGCAAGCACCAGCAGATGCAGCTCGATGATGTCATGTTATTTTCGACTTGTTTCATATATATAAATATATGTTTATATACATTCTTTGCACACTGTAATTTGCCACGTCTAAGCAGTGGTGAAACATTTTTTCCCAAAATGCAGTCAAACAAAACAAAGATTCTCCACCACATTAAATATTATTTGATGCACCAGGTGAGGAACAGTTAACCGGACATTCAGACGGATTAATTTCAGCTGTGCGCCGCACTGTAAAAACCACTGTCCTGTATGCTGTGTCTCATGTTTCTGTTATTGTTTAGTGTCTAGATTTTTTTCTCTCATTGTTTTGGCTCATTATTATTATTTTGATCAGCCTTTTGATCAGATAAAATAATAGAGGCATATATTGCCTGTTTTATGAGGAATTTTGCACAAAATAGGAAACCTTATCTGGTTTCTTTTACCTGTGTCAGTGTGATTGCAATCAGCATTGAACTTTATATGACATATGTGTATATTTAAAATATTTTACAGCCTAGTATAAGCAGTGATGCAGACTGATCGCTTTACTGCACTCATTTAAAATTCAAATGTGTTAATGAAAGTAGTTTACACATAGTTCCTTGCTTTAACCCTCGGATGGTTTAAGTCAAAAAAGGGACCGTTTTGGGTCCCTTTTTTGACTTAAACCATCCGAGGGTTAATATACAAATATATGAAATGTTATGATGCTCGGTGGCGGTCTCTAGTCGAATGAATGTGGTTTTGGCTGAATGTACTGTACGTTGTTTGGGATTTTTGCAGTCAAAACAATGTTAGGTTTGTTGTGGGGCATTTTAAATCACTTATGTGTGATGTTTTACACTGTTTTTACAAATGTTCTTGAAGATTTCTTTTAGAGACTTGATCCAACAATCACATTACAAGTACTGGGATTTTTCTGATTATACTACTTGTGCTGTCCTCAGTGTACTTTTATTTTGCATGTTTAAAGCTGTTGTGTGTGTTGAACTGAACTTTTTTGGGCTCATCTTTAGATTTGATTTGCCGAGAGCAATTTTTTTGTATCTGTATCAATAAACACTGTGTGTACATCATTATATAAAAGTGGTATTTGTCGTTTTTTAGGGTTGTGTTATGTCACAGTTTATGTAACTGGCAGGAGGTGGCGCTGCAAACTAAAACGACGTCAGAAGTTTTTACTGTCGCGAAAAGTTAATGATGCCGGACATGTTGAAATAATAATTTCCTACTTTTTCACAAGAACAGGTGATGCCTTCGCTGTGTTGTCCTGCTCGAGGCAGCTTCATTAAACAATATTTGCAGGTAGCTGAACTGCTTTCTAGAGAATTCATTTAGAAAAAAAACCCCGTTAGAATCCGGAAAGATCATTGGTTCATCGTTTCTACTCTTGACCAATCAACACGGTGTTGCTATGCTTCATCTGTTCACTGATTGGCCGATAAGCCTGTCATTTATTCATCAAGCCTTAAGGACAAGTGTGATTTGGGACCAAGAGTATCAACTCAAGATGATTCCCGTTTTTTCAGAGTTTGTGTTTTCCAGTTTTGCAATTTGGATGTTACCAATTGCACTGCAAATAAGTCGAACATCTAAGTTTTACGGTAACCGTGAATGTGTTTAGAAAAGAAAGGATGCTGTTGGAGGTTTTTCCCCTAAATGCGGCATACCTTTTAGCTAGTTTTCTATGTTACGGCTTATAAAACGCTTTTGTTAAAGCACATAACAGTAGATATAAACAAAACTATATATTTAAAGAATCCCCATCATTTATAAATTCAGTCTGTAAAATCAAAACGGTTTACTGCGAACACGGAAGTAGATAGGAGGGAATGCTCTCGCTCCGGCTGGAAGTTCCACTGCTCTCTGTGGCTTTCTAAACTCTGCTGGGCATCGTTGCGCGTCAAAACATTGCGTCTCTGCAGGACTTGCCAGGGCCAGAGAGGAGAGGAAATTTGCTTGGGAAGGAATGCGAAAGAGGTTTTAGGATTGGCACTGCCACGAGGAAAAACGAGGACGTGCCACATTTTCTAGGCTACGTGGAGGAGACCCGCATTTTCTTCCTTTCAAAGGTAAGATGATTTCGTCTGCGTTATTTTTCATCTCCGGTGCATTTGTTACTTATGGTTTTCACACTGCTCTCTTAACCCATTTCAAGCATCGACCTATTTATGCTCAACGCCTTTAACCAAGTCAACTTTTAACTGCAGACCCACGTGCTGTAAAATGACAATATAAAAGAGAAGTTTATGATGTCTTGCGTTGTTTACGTGCATTAGGTAACTGTTGCAGGTTTGTTCTTCCTGTTTGCTTTGCGGACGGGATGCTGAAGAGTTGCTCTCTGTGGTTACAGTATCTACTACAGTATCTAGTATTTTATTTATTATTAGGACACATGCTGTTTTTGTTGTGGCACTGCTGCACGTCTGCGCCATCATCCCCGTGCGCGCGCCCCCGGCCGTAGCGGTGCACGTCAGCAGTGATCGATGCGGGTTATCGTGTAATGTACGCTCACGTGATCACATGCTGACGACAATCACCTGCTAAAGTCACTGCGGATTTTAAAGCTTTAAAGGCGGTGTGTGCGTGTGTGTGCGCGCGCGTGCGTGTTTGTGTGTGTGAGTGAGTGAGAGAGTCTTGCTGAGCCGAGGCATCCCCGCCATCTGTGCTCTGCGTGGTGGCTGAAGTTATGCCCCAGATAAAGTGCGCCACTGCCTGTGACCTGATTCATACACACATCCACACTGTAAACCCTCATGTTTTTACTTAGGTGTTACCTCAGGTGATGAGACACACATGACTGAGCCTCACCTGCAGGTGGGGGGTGCCTCATGTTAATCCCAGAAATCTAGTAAATAACGTCCGCGAGAGTTCATACGGAGGAGATGAAGATCGGGAACCCCATATCGAGGCACAGCCTTGTTTTCCACTGTTTGCGATCTATTTTCATTGCAGCGTGCGCACGCACATCCCTAATGATTATGTGGGGGCTCGATACCCAGGGATCGAAGAGGAGGGTCAGAGTTGCAGGCCTTGAAAGATGATCCTGCCCGGACGAAAGTTGTGCACAGTGTGTTATGCCTGCAATTGGCCAGGTTTGACTTACAGGAAGAGCTTTAGAAATAACATCTACACATCAAGCACATGAAACCAAGCCAAAGAGGGGCAGGAGAGCAGCTGCATGCATATGTGTAAGAGTCTGAGAAGCAGGAGCATCACTTCCATCAATGTGGTTTAATGAGATGGTGGGAGTAGTCAGTGATGTCATGCTGCTGTAAGCTGTGTGGCCTCGGTGTAACAGTGAATGGAGAGCGAGATGAAAGTACACAAAGTACAGAAATCGTGACGGTGCAGCTCGTGGGCAGCAGCGAATCATCCAACACCACCTCTTCCCTTTTTTCTTCACCCTTCCCTTCAACCCTCTGTCCAAGTCATTTTCACCTGGCATCGCTCCCCCCCCCCCCCCCTGGTTTTCTCCTGCGCGATCACTGTCAGAGACAGCAGCAGCAGCAGCAGCAGCATCAGTGTGTTACATAACAAAGGTTGTTTTTTTTTTGGATACAAGGGCCCTTTTGGCTGGTGAGACTCGCTGCACGTAGCCTTTTGTGATGACACCCAGAAATGACCAGAATGGACAACTCGGTGACCTCGAACGACCCGTGGCGGATCAGAGAGGCATAGAGTCAGATGAAGGAGTAGATAAACTTGGGTTTTCTTTCTGACATTTACGCCACCGGAGCCTGTCTGGATGGCTGCGATCAGCTATTCCAGTCATCTGATCATTTATGCAATTTGTTTTGGGTTTTTTTTTTTCCTGCCAGAGAGGTTTTATTAGTGCAAACATTTTGCGTCAGCAGTTTCTCTGAACGTCAGCATCCCGCAGACAATGCTGCTTTTGCAAAAATGACTTACAAGCATGTCCACCCACCAGCATGAGTGTTGTTCTGTTTTTGGAAGCTGTTTGAAAATGTCAAACACCGTCACTCTCAACCCCTCGAACAGCTTCACTACGTCTTTTTTTTCATCTGTTTAATTTGGTTCTCCAGCTTGTGCCTGCTTTCACTCTTCGATGTATTCCTGTGTGGTTATTTTGTACGTATTCTGTATGTTTTTATTATTCATCATTCCTCCATAAGAAAATATCTTAGCTGTTTTAAAGCCTTCACCATACTCTAGATTTAATTTAGTAAGCACAAAACCACAAACATCTGACACTGACACTGTTAAAGGACAATATCAGCTTAATTTGTTTCCAGCCTTGTGGTTCACTTATTAAAGGAAAACAAAAAATCGAACCAAGCCTTCTACAACCCCTCTTGTGTCTCTATAATTTTACCAAACTGTAATCATCAAATTCCTACATCTGATAGAGGTTAGGATCATTTCAGTTCTTCTGCTCATTAGATTTCCAGTTTATTGGTCTTTTAAAGATGACTAATTAGTCTTTAATAATAATATGTTTTTTTGTTTAGCACATTTTTATAGTGCACAAATTGCTTCACAGTTTGGATAAAACATACATGAGAAAAGTGTTTGTGTAGTACATGAAAATACAGAGTCAGATGTATGGTTATCCAGCTTCTCAAGCATACTCTTACTTCCATACACACATTAAATGTGAACTATAGCCAAAGGTAAAATAATTAGTAAATAGTAAATTAGTACTAGTCGCTGGTTAGTAGAGGATGCACTTT